GGTCGGGCCGGGCCGGGCCGCATCGCTGCGTGCGTCGGTAGCACCTTTCTCCGCGCCTGGTCATAGCGGCACGACGGAGGCGTCTCTCTGCTCTGGTCCTGCCCGCGCAGCTCCCCTCGTTCCTCCCGCCTTCTGGCGCACAGCGGTGCCAGAAAATTCCCCTGGCTCCCCAGCGGCCTTTTCCGTAGTTGCTGACCTTCCCGCCCCATCTGCACGGGTGGGGAGGGTGAGTCTGGGGAACGCGGGGCTCTGCTGGCTGTATTCCAACTTCAGAAGAAAGGCTGGTGATGTGGATTTTCAAAGGGCAGAGCTATGGTCTCGGCTAAAGCCTGTGGAGGTAAACGAGCGAGCCGTGTCTCTGAAGGAAGAATAAACATGCTTGTGCTTTGCTTACTGCCTTGCAGTTGAACTAAGTTGCATGCAGATGGCTTGTGTTTTATTGAGTTCTTCTATGTCTGCTGCTTACTGCTTATGCACAATTCCTGCTATAAAGCTTCTTTTTTTCTTTCCTTCTCTGCTTGGTTTTGTGTATGTAACGTAAATACTTTTGTTGCTTGTCATTGTCTTCTTTGGCTTGTAGTCTCTTTGTGTCCTCTTCTGCCTGCTGAAAGCACTACAAGTAGAGTTGCCCTCTACATACGCTTGGCTTACCTTCAATTTTAAGCTCCTAAATCCTTAGTCTGTGAAATGCATTAATGCGTTCTGCTAATACTTGGAAGATAACTAATTCACTGCTATCTCAGCTAATTCAGTCATCAATCTGCACCATTGTATATTTTTGTTCTATATTATTCAATGATATTGTCTAGTGATGATGAATTGTTGACTTGCTGTTGAGTGAAACTCAAAGTATTAAGCAAATAATGAAGCTAGTTTTGATGAATACTGGCTAGAAGAGTCCATAATATTTTAATTTGCACGTTACGCTACTTCCTGTTGACCAAATGTGAAAATTTTTAGTCTGTGCAATGCTCTCTTGCAACTAAGACATTGTATGCTATTTGCCAAAAACTTTTAAATTGCTTTGATGCACAGTCTGGCAGTGAACATAAAGGTCTTCAAGCCTCAGACTTTGTAAAACTCACAGCATATCGTCTTGACCTTATCTAGATTCTTTTTGGTTAGAGATTAATGAAAGGATAAGGATAAATTGGTATGTCTTTGAGATTCATTTGGATGTGTGGGCTTAATCATATGATCCGTGATTGCTAATCTTTATTCTTATTTCATATTAACTTATGGAGGCAAATGCAAAAATATTTTTGTAGTTCATTTATTATTATATTGTAGCTATATCAGGAAGGCTGCTAGCAGAATCTGGACTCTGGAGAAAAGACTGTCTTTTGTTCGAACTGCGTGTTGTATTTCCCACCTTCAATTATTCAGTTAGTCTATGAGAGTACCTAATATAGGGATGGCTTCAGTGAAGTGTTCTAAATACTTAAAAGGGAATTGTTATTTCCCTGCCGCCAATATCTGCCAATTCAGAAAAAGAAAAATGTCATTCAGTAGTTGCTTGCTTTAGAAACTTTGATTGCAAGGATCACGTATGCCAAGAGGAATGTGGAAATACGGCTTTTTAAAGACAATTCTGAGGTAGTGTGTCACTTACTTGCTATGAAACTCTACTCTGTGAGAAAAGGAGACTGATACCGAAATGGTGCTTCAGAAATAGCTAGTGTCATGCCAAAACTTTTGGGGCTAAATGTCTTGCTACTGTAAGGTATGGGGAGGGGGGGGATTCAACTCTGACAACTTTTTCCCAGCTCTGACAACTTTTTCCCCATACTAGCAGTTTTTCAACATGAAAGCATTCTGGTCTCAGCAAGCAGACAAAGTGGAGTAGAGTTGCTCGTTCTGTTTCAGTCTCAAGTTGAAAGGGAGGAAGAAGACTAGTAACTAGCAAAGCATGTGTTCTAGTTAAGGCTGGAACAGACACTTAGAAAGCTCAAGGTATGTTTTGATTGCAATACTTAAGTGTCCCAATTTCTAGAATTGGTTTTCAGTTTCTAAAGCATTTGATGTTACATTCTAATAGAATATACTCGGTCTTTGACAAACCAAAATGGAGAAGACGCCTTGGTTTGTTACCTCTTCCTTTCAAGCTTTGTTTCCTCTTGACTCCTATTTCTTGTAGCTTATAGTTACGACTGACTGCCCTGTATCATTTTATCTAGACAACAGGGGGCAAAATGTAGCCTAGTCTTTCTGAATTGGAGGTGAGAGAACTGACTGAAAAGCATAGAAATAGTTTTTCACTGTCAATTATCTTATTTCACTGCCTTTTTAAAGAAGTTCTGAAATAACTTTCCTTTCAAATTTCAGACAAGATGAGTGTATATACAGTTCTAAGACTTTGGTAGTCAGTCCTTGAAAAGCTAAAAATTACTACTGCTAAAAATTTTTAGGTGAAACTCAAAGTATTGGCTGATCTTAAAAACTGCAAACAGTGGGTTCATTATGTTGGTAATGAACCCCCCACAAAGAGGCGATTACATGTCTGTCAGGATCAGCGGATGCTCATTGTGGCATCTCTTGCCACACAGATGTCGCTTAAGATCATGGCTTGCTTTAGGAAGGCTAAAGCTTCCTGCCCAACTGTGGGAGACCTTTCAGTATAAAGGCTCAAATAGTTTCATTTTGTGAGCTGTCAACTGTGACAGACATTCACTTTATCCAGACTGGTAAGGATAAATTCAACAGGCACACAGAGTTTTTGTATTCAACAGCAAAGGTTGTGGTCTTGTTTTGCAGGTTTTTAGCATCTGGTAGTGTTTTCCCTCTGTCATGCATCCACACAAGCACACCCCTGGAGAAACTTGGGAAGTGGGAGAAAAAGAACAGGATTGTTTACCCTCCACAGCTGCCTGGAGAACCTCGCAGACCAGCGGTAAGAATGCACCTATAACTTTTGGTACCTGTCTATATGTAACAATTTCAGAATACAAGGTCATTGTCTCAAGATCACCCTACGAGGCGCTAATTTGATAGCTTATTTATTTGGTGTTAAGATTTTGGTCTGTTTGGTGTATTTATATTGTGAAAGCCAGAGAAGTTAACTTCACTTTGGATGTTTCCCACCTCTAAATTTTGTTGGAACTTCAACAGCTGATCAGCTATCTAATGTGTCATGCGTAGTGCAAAGATATCGTCCTCTCTTTGTAGAAGTCTGAGCTACAAAGAGGCAGAAGTTACCAGGAACTCTCAGTATACACTTGTCCTATTCATGCTAATAGTAGGTAACTAGAGAAGAAGGTGACTGTACTGTTGGTTCTGTGCACAAAGCTAGAAAATCTACTTCTAAGTAGCGGAGCTAATGGTGTACATTTACTGTAGATGCAGTAAAGTGCATCATCTTTTCATTTCTTAATTTATTTTCTTACAGATTATCTGGGGCCTAATAAGGTGTGACCTCTTAACGTGGCCTTTCTCCTAACAGACTTATTCGTAGGCTGTCTTCTGTCTTATTGCTTGCTTGTTTTGTTTTCTTGGATTTGTTCGGTATGGACTGAGAGATTCTGAAATTATCAGAGAAGAACACATGAATCGGACGTGATATATGACTGCAGAAACCCCTTTCCCTCAGGAAACCAGTATATGAATATTGTACAGCGGGGTTGTTTCTTCAGACTCTTTGCATAATAATTTGTATTTACTAAGCCATGAATTGAAGGAAGGAATCTAATATCCTTTTGTCACCTAGATCCTCAATGTAGCCGTCTTCCGTTGGCCAAAGTAACTTTTGCAAAAGTCAACTTAAATAACATAGTCGACTCTTTCTATAAAGTAATGACAAATAAGATTATTTTTTGATAACTGCAAGTTCATCCATGTTTCTTCTCTGTTGTCCTTCTCTTGACCAATTTATAGCTGGAAAGTACAGTTAAAAGCAAGCAGCAGCAAACCTCTTGTTTTAGCGTTCTGCATGAAAACTGAGTGTTGTGTATTTTGTCAGTGAAGGGAATAATCTATGGTTCTTTCTCTACACCACAAACTGAGAATTTTTAGGTGAGCTCCTCAGTATTTCCTTATACTTCTTGACAGCTGCCTTTTTGGATTTCCATTTTTGCAATCATACTTCCTTGGAAAGTGTTATCTTTTGTCCTCTGCTTGGCATACCGCTAAGCGGAATAATTTGTATCTCAAAAGCATAGGGCCTTTTAGCCACGTGCTTCTGTGGGTCATGAACACTTATCGCTTCTGTCAATATGATGGCCTAGGGCTTACAAATGTATGCTGTATATGCCGAGTAGTACAGTGCTTATGAAAAAGCAATTATCAACAGACTTGCTGATTAAATCATTCTTTTTCCTATTCATAAAGAAAAAAGTCAAATCTTTCAAACTTAAGGCTGTTAAATTTTTCTAGCTGCTTTTAGTCCTTTTTGGTGCGATAGTGATGTTAGATAGCTCTTCTGGAGATGCTCTTCATGCCAATGGTAAGTGCAAAGCCCTCCCCACCTTATCAGTAACCAGTAAGTTGACTTGATATGAGAGTAACTTCTTTGCCTGAGTGGGCAAATGAGTTTTCCTTTCCTTCTCCCCTGCTCAAAGCAGTCAAAGATGAAAAGCTTCCTGGCTACGCTTTTGGGGAACTCTTATTTCTAACTTATTCTCGTAAGATTGTATTAAAATCTTATTCTGTACACACTACTTCTTTAATGCTTTCACCTTAAAATGTCAAAGGTATGTCTGAGTTGATATATTTGTGGCATAGTAGGGAGAGGCATGCTTATTTTATTCTTGGAAAAAACTTAGGTTCACAGCAAAATTTTTGTGTCTCTATTTTCTTACACCTAGGAAATATATCACTGTCGGAGGGAAATAAAATACAGCAAGGATAAGATGTGGTATTTGGCAAAACTGGTAAGCAAAAGTTACTCTTGTAGGTATTGTTAGAGTGTGAAATTTACTTTCTCTGTTTGCCTTAACAACAGCCTCGTAGTTCAACCACAGCCTAACTGGCATCTTCATAACAGGATCCTAGGGAACAGCATGCGCTTGTGCAGGCAAATAGCGATGCGCAGTTTGGTTTGAATGCTTTATCCTAGTATGTTCTCAAACATGTCCACAGGATCATAGGCAGATTATACACCTTAAAAGAATTTTCTTATTGACTTCTGCCTAGCAATAGATGGCAAGGGGAACTTTGAAAGGTAGTCACTTTTTTCTCTTTAAGATGATAAACGTTAATGATTAGTCATTCTCTTATCTCTGTATATAAGAGATCACGTGGGAGAAATAGCAGTTAGGGAAAAGGATATTTACTTGCTTTTTATAATGGCAAATTAAAGTATTGTATTCTGAATCAGAGAAGGGAAATATTTGTAATTGCAAAGTTAACTTTAACCCCTTTTAATTGCAGATAAAAGGAATGTCCATTGACCAGGCTCTTGCTCAGTTGGAATTTAATGATAAAAAGGGAGCAAAGGTAATCAAAGAGGTATGCAGCAGTATTCTCTAATGCTCCAGTTTTTAAGGAAACTTTCAAATCGGTACCTATCACCAGCAGTTTGGAGACGTTTCTACTAAGCCCCTTGGGAATGCTTTTAAACCAAGTCTTCGTTCTTGTAGCAATTGCTTACTGTTGTGACTTATCCAGCAGAAGTGACCTCTGTGTGTCCGTGTTTTAACTCATAATGATATTAGAGCACATGTGGGTAATCTCTTATCTTTAACGAACAATAACTTGGCGTTACAATCATGATAAATAGTACAGACTCCTTGTCCTTAATGGTTGCTACATTGATAACGTATTTTGGCTCTTAAATTTACAAGAGTTGTAGACTATCAACAGAGAAAGCACCAAGTTCGGCAAAGACGTGAAAGGTTTTCAAATACTGCAGTTGTTAGGAGCCTCAAAGGGTTTACTCATCTGCTTGGCCAAAACATTAATTTCCGGTGTAAATATACTGGCAAAGAGGTATCATGTGTTAGCCCAAAATATGGAGTGGCATAAGTTGATTTTGCCCACCTTAGAATTTGTTTTCGATCTGTCCAATTTGATGAAGGTCTGTGGATAGAAGGCTGACAAATCCTGAGGGGAACCATCTTCCCTCCTCCAATGCTCTCTCCTTCCCCAGCAGTGATAAAATTGTCCTGAAGCTTTTCAGTCTGTGTGCAGAGAACGTACTTATATGAAAAAACAAGTCTTTTTCTAACGCTATCCCTGGAAAAGAGTTTGCTGGCTTATTTTGATCCTTTCAGAATAATTTTTCTTTTGCTGACTTAAAATGGAAGCAATTGTACGTTTATCCGGAAAGGTAAACAGCACTGCTGAAATTCCTCATCGGTATTTCTGTTTTTTTCCTTATGTTACAGGTTCTGTTAGAAGCTCAGGAAATGGCAGTAAGAAATCACAACGTGGAATTCAAATCAAACTTATATATAGGTAATAGTTTCTTCTTTTAGTGCAAAGAAATGTCATCTTACTCTGGGGAAAAATGTTATCCTTAATTAGGTACTGTTACTTTGAATCAGCACAAATGATTGCAAACCAGTTTATACTTAATTACTAATTTTTAGCAAATTAGTCAAGGCATGTTCTTTCTACTTGCTGCATAACGGAAGTTAATGTGGCTGTTGAGCCTTAAGCCATCAGTCTGTTGGTGGTGTCTGACTGGTGTCCTTCTGGCATCTGCTAGATGCATAATTTTTAATAAGATGTATTCGTATGAATAAAATTTCTGCCCCCTGTGTGAAAATGAAAAGTCCCAAAGAGGAAGGCTGACATGAATATAAGAGACGGGACAACAAGAAGCAGACTGGTATTAATTTTTAATTCTACCAGTGAACATAGATGCTGGTAACTTTGTCGTTAATACGACTTCCATGGGTGAAAAGAAGGGGAATTGGAAATTCTTTGAAAAAAACAAAAATTGTTGCAGATGATCACAGGATAAGTTTAACTACAGCACTTTCTTACCTAGAGAAATGTTTACGTATAGGTGTTTTCAGGGCTGAAAGAAGGTTGTCATTTTGCCAAATATGGTGTAAGTGTCATCATAAGTTTTAAAGTAACCTGGATTGTAGAGCAGAACAGACTCGAATTCTTTGGGGCCTTCCAGGCCTCTGCCACAAAGAAGTTTTTATTTGTTAGTGCAGGGCTGGATGTTTAGATAACGAAAATGCCTGTGATGAATACAATCGAGGGAGGAAGGGAAGTAAGTTCTGCAAGACTTCTCTGGGAAGTCATGAGACGAGTTACTGAAAAGCAATGGAATTAATACTACCTTTAAAAGAGCTATGTGATCTAGTAAGCTCTCGATGTAGCTGCCTTTGGATTTGTCTTTCACCATATGTTTATTTTCATGCACGCACATTCTAAATCCACCTTTTTGGTGCTCCTGATGAATGCTAATCAACTCATGAGTTCCTCCGTGGTGGTAATCTACTAAATGCAATAGCAGGAAGGTGGGGAGAAAGAATTCTGAAAGGACTTAACTTTTCATATGCAGTCATGAAAAATACACTGACAAGGTAAAATAAGCTACTACACATCTGCTCTTAAACACTGAGACTGAAGTCTTTTCACCCTTTTTCCTTCAGCTGAGTCCTTGACAGGCAGAGGCCACTATGTGAAGCGGATCCGTTACCATGGCAAAGGCATGTTTGGCATCATGAAACTTGTCAGATGCCATTACTTTGTGAAGTTGGTGGAAGGTCCTCCTCCTCCTCCAGAGCCCCTAAAGACGGGTTTTGACCAAGCAAAGGAATATGTGCAGCAGCTGCGAAATAGGACCATTGCTAATACACTGTGACAAACTCTTGTGACATTATAGGTGTTTCTCCTTTGACAATGTGGTTATGTAAAAGAATAAAGTCATGTTTCAGTTATATTTTTGGTGCTGCTGGAGCTGGATGATGCAAGAATGATCATAAGCTTTTTTTCTTACTTGGTCAGCCATAAGTATGGGGGGGAAAGTCTTGGAAAAGTGGCAACAGATGTTGCTTTTTCAGAGTTACTGAAAGTATTAAATATTAAGTATTAATATTAGTATTAATACTAGTGTATTAAACCGTATTAAATACTCTGCCCTGGACTATCAAATCTAGAACATACAGTGCAGTTACAAGGCTTATTTAAAAACTCTATTTTCTCTCAAATTCATGCAGTTAGGTATGGTTGGGTCTTGTACTGCAAACGTTCTTGACAGTCGCATCAAGATAGACTGATCAGTAAGATTTGGAATCTTAAAGCTAGTTATAGTAGTGCAGCTAAATTAGCAACAGTCTTAGTTGAGATTAGCAAGCATCAGTTTATGGTTTGTTTATCTAGGCCATAAAGTTTTTTCCTTACTTCCTTTATTGTGCTGCTTAGACATTGTGTCTGCAGGTGAGGAAAGAAGAACTTGGTTTAGGTTCAGGTTCTGACAGTCAGTAGATGGCATTGTTTAGTTTGTCAGAGAGGAAAGTGGCAGTGAAAACGTACAGTACTTTGAAATCTCCTTCTTGATTTTTTGCTATGGCATTAACAGTCTGCTGCATGCATGGAGTTCAGACTGATCTCTGTGGATGCTCGGTATGGATAACAGGTATAATAATAGTTCACTCTTTATCAAGATAAGCTTTTCTCTAGTTATTCTGTACTGTTTTGGAACAAACTGCTTTTGTAATGTTGAGGCAAGTAAAATGTTCCATGGATTTAATGGGTAATGGCTTGTTGCATATATAAACTGTGGACTTACACTTATCTAAAAGCAATCTGTTTTTATCATTACTTCTCTGAAGACAGAAAGACTGAGGTCAATAGGGGAAGTATTTTTTTCACCCAGTCAGGTTTTCAAGCCATTCTCTGGAGACTGAACATTGCCATGAAAAGAGAATGAGTGGTTAGTTGCTTTTTTTTTTTTTTTTTTTATTCCAAATGTCTGGTATTTAGACCTTTCTTTTCCTTTCTGGAAGCATTAGAATAGGGGATAGATTGCTTCCCTCACATGGGTCTTTTACCACACCTATTAATGGTAGCTTTGCTTACATGGGCTTGCTTTGACCAGTACTTTAATAATGGTAAAGGGACAGTTCCTGTAAAGAAACAAATTATCTGTGCTAGCCTAATGAAGGCAGCATACAGCTGGGTTTTTTGCTACCAAAGGAAGGGTTTAATAATCTCAAGCAGTGCTAGGGGATGATCAAGCTACATAAGCATCCACTGATGGTACTGAGCTAGGAATGTACTTCTTATTTGCACTCTTTTTTTTTTTTACCCCCAGTGCACTTAAAAACATTACTTGTGTTAATGCCATGATTCAGTAACTTTTCTCTGAAGAGTATGTTCCTAAAAAGCCTCTACTATCTCTGTAGTCCCTGATGCTTTTTTGAAGAACTGTTTCTCTTTCTGGTGTGTTATGATTAACAGTTGTGCTTTTCTTTGCTGGCTGCCCTTAAACTCTCTTGTCATATTGAGTCTCTTCCAAGTTGTAGCAAACTTAGATGCCTTAATCTTTTTGGGGGTCGGGGGTGGGGGTCAGTGATCTGGGAGAAGACCAAAGAATTGCAAAATAATCCAAGCTTAACAGCACTTGTTATCTAAGCATGTAAAAACCTAGCTTCCAGATGCTTTGTTTCCCAGTACTTGTCTGCCCTGCATGCTCTGTGTCCTTTCAGATCCATTGCTTCAGACAAGGTTGTATCCTTATTTAGGTGTCTTTGCCCTCATGAATCTGCAAGCTGGGAGAGAAATGGGAATGTGACTATCTTTTCTAGTTTAGTATCAGGATCGCCTGCTGCATCATACTTTAAGACAGTCAGGCTTGATCTTTTAAAACTTTTCAGTCAGAAGGCTGGCTGTTTCCATTAGAATTGTGACTTGTCATTCTTGTCGTCTTGCTCAAAATACAAGGTGGGTTAACCCTTTTAAGAGTGCTCACGCACCTTTCTGAAGCATGTCTTTGAAATCCTTTCCAGTCCTCCTCTTATCCCTTAGTATCTTTTTTCCTCTGCTTAAAGATGGATTATCCTTAGTGGATCCTTTTGGTATTGGCTAAGGAAGCTCCACAGCCTTGGCTGAAACACCACAGTGGATGATTTGGTGAGTTAAGAGGCTCGAACTACCTTGCTCCTTACCTTTCACTAGTAGAAAGATAAGCGTCTGAAGTGCTTTCAGGGATAGGTGTGTCAGAGCGCTGGTGCTGGAATTTGCCTGAATAAATAAAATTCAGTAATTCAGGTGATATAGAATTTGATCGCATAAAGCTCTATATGTAGAGCTCTCTTCAAAAGAGAGTAAAGAGTCTTTATCAAAAGAGTAAAACTCTTTTGATTGTACTACATTTTCTTAGTAATTAGTACATCTGCACTTCAGCTGAGTGCTTGATAGGGCTCCAGACAAAATTCTGTGTTAACTGCAACAAGTCTTTAGTAGTAGATGATCCTTTATTAGCGTGACTTCCAATAAGGGAACACTTTAAAATGAGCCATCCCCGGAGAGAAGGGGGAGAGGCAACTAGGCTGCTATTTGATGCTAATTTTATTAGTGACGTCTGGGGGCGCTGTAAACTCACCACTTGTGTATGGATGCGCTGATGTTACAGGAATTGAAGAAGGAGCAAGTATGCGTGAAGGTAGTAAGACTTCAGGGAGATCTGAAGAGAGCAGAGTTGTGAGCTGTGCTCAGCAATGTGAGATTTAATTGAAGGAAACCTGAAAAACCTACAGTTGGGCCTGCTCATAAACATTTTAAAGTATACTGTGAGAAAATGAAGTATTTCTGTCAGACAGCCTGATGTCTTCTGGGGTATGTTTTCTTTTTTATACTCCTGGGCAGTTACTGAGGAGAAAGTTTGTCAAAGATAGATTTAGGAAAGATTCATCAATATAGATGTAAAGTGGTGATCAGCCTCTTTTAAAAACATGAAAGATAAATCTGAGAATGACAAACAGGCTAGAGACCCTGATCGTGGCCAGTTCTCTCCTGGACTTCTCTGTTGCAAGCCTGACTGTTAGAATGCCTCTTGGAGGTCTAGGATGATAACTGAGCGTACACAGGCCCATTCTGCAGAGTGTGTTTAGACTGTGCATGAACCAGCATGTGCTAGCAGCTTAGCATGAACGTCACTAGACCAAGGTCATACAGCATAGGTCTTCTGAATATCTCTGCACAAATAGAGCTGTATGACAGTGCTGCCACAGCATCATTGCACAGTTGCATGGCAAATCCTTCAATCACTGTAGTGAAGGAGCAATGGACATAGCTCTTTGCTTTCTGCCAACCCCCACGAAAACCCACTGATGAGATGCTGGAAAGTCATTTGCAGACAGACTTCTCCTTTAAATAGAAATAAGGTTACGGTTACTCCTAATATCCTCAATGAACCATGTAAATAGTGTGACATTCTTCACCGTATGATCTATAGGCCTGCTGAAAACACCCCAATTTCTAGTTTTTTAAAGAACAAGCCTTTATTGTTGAATAACATCCATCCAGCTGCACTTCGGCCATATAATTTAAAATAATTACTAATTAAACAAAATAAGAGACTATAACAGCCAGTGCTGAGTTGATTATTATTGCTGTTATACAACTTACTGTTTGCTGGAGCATTACCTAGGGAAAAAAACTTAAAAGGAAAGGGAGGGGGGGAAAAGTTTCAGGAACTGCTGCCAGGGACTGACTTCTTGAGTGCTTAGGCTCAAGTAAGGAACAAGATACTTCTTGGGAGCAGTCAGCGAGTATAAAATCAGCTCTGTACTTGCTCTCTAACATCAACACTTCCTTGTTTCAAGGAAGTTGTATGATGATACAGAGGGTAGGCTGCCATTGAAGAGAATAAGCCAAAGGGAGTGTTACATTAGGCGAGTGATGTATCCACTTGTGTTGAGTATTACCTGAGGAAATGAATCTTAAGTAGTACACTTCAAGAGCAGAGCATTCTTGCAACTAATGACAAGATGTGGGGCGAAACATCTGAATAATTGTCCCCTCTGTGGGCGCTACTTCTGTGTATTGCAGAGTACTACAGTTACCCAGTTTTGGGTAGAGTGGCAGAAGGAATTTTGTGGTATGTGAACCTAAATTCACTTTGCACTGAAAAAGCTTAAACTATGTTTATGTAACTTTTTTTTTAGATCAGCTTGGAGTAGGACCATTGCCAATGCTACATCAGGTCACCTGTGTCTTTGTTTTAACAATTTTTGAAACCTCTAAAGATGGGAATTCAGCTGCCTCTTTAGCCTGTTCTACTGTAGCACTAACCTCTTGGTAAAAAGACTTTTTCTAAAGCCAGCCTGAACCTCCAAAGCAGTACTTTGTTGCCCCTTTTTCTGTTGCCTGACACTAGTGGGAAGTGGTTGACTCTCATTTGGAACGCTCCTATTTTTATCAGATCACTCCATTAACTTCCTCTTTTGTCAGGATGAGCAAGCCCAGTTTCCTCAGCCTGTCTTCATAAATCCTGGGCTCTAGGCCTTCTGCCGTCCCCTCTCTAGTTCCTCCATATCTGCTTTTGCAGGGAGGGGCTCAAAACCAGGTTGAGTGCTCCAGGTGCAGCCTCAACCAGCACTGAGTAGAGATAAATACCATTGATCTGCTGGCCACACTTCTAATGGAGCCAAGTATGCAGTTTGCTTTCTCTGTGATGAGAGCTTGCTGTTGGCTCACATTCAACCTGGTGTCCGTGCAACTCCCAGGTCCTTTCCAGCTTTCCAGATCGCTTGTCAGAATTGCAGTAAGTATCTTTGGCACCTGTGTTCCAGCTCTGGTTCCTTTCCTATATACACTGAGGACTTCTTTACCCCCAGGAAATTGTTCTGTTGTGTGGATGATAGTCTTCTGTTCTTGCCTTCCTAATAAAGGCTGCAAAATGGTTTTGTGACTTCTGTTATTTATTAAACTCCTAGACTAGCTAAGAGTGGAATAAAGGCATTTGTACATGCTACTGTGGTAAACTGTCAATGTATGCATTTAATAAGCACTGAAACGTGTCTTCATCCCCCTGTTGATTATCTTTTTCAGAGGAACAGAAACAGATTCTTACTCTGTCCTGGCCATGTGAATTAAAGCTTTAACTGTATGAAAACAGAGTGGACTGTGAGACATGCCGCATGCTGCTATTAAGGAATTGCTGTTCAAACCCAGCTTTTTCAGATGTCCCCAATTCCTTGCTGCTTCTTTTCCCACTTAAAATTCGCAATAGTGCATTAAGATGGACACAGTAGTTAGTAAATTTTCTCCTGTGTATTTTACAAGCTCAAGGTTATGGGCTAGAACAAGTAGTGTCATGCTATAAATCAGGTGTAATAGAACAGCCTGAGAGAGCGCACAGAAGTCCTATTTCCCCTCACATGATGTGCATCCTAAAACTCTGAAGGTGGAGCTGGCACAAACTCAGAAGCCCCTACAAACAGCTGCTTAAATCATTAATAGTGAACCTGATCGTGGTACCCTTTCTCTTCTGGAGTAGCATGTTTCCCCTGATTCCTTCCACTATGAGTAAGGCATATACTGGAAAATTTTGAGGGCTGCAAATCAGAAAAGACTGGAAAGTTTTCACCAGGAAGGGCATGCAGCTGAGTGCCATTGTGATACAGAGTGGAGGACTGGAAACCTGCCTCTTGGTAGGTTTTCCCCCCCACCAACACCTAAATGCTTTCTGTTTAAGGGTTTAACTTTCAGGCCTTAGCTGTGGTTCTTGTTTTCTCCACTGGCTTA